GCTAAATATAAGCTACTAATATGAAAAATAAAATACTGGAAAAGTTGTTGTAGCAATACTGATCTAAATATGTCAGGCAAAGTGAAGGTAATATTAGTCATTAACTCAGTCGACATAACCACAGCAAAAGAAGGCCTTCAAAATATTAGCCTTCCATGAGTCTGAAACTGAAAATCCTGTGTAGKTGAAAAAATGTGTCATGGCAATCTGGATTTAACAGAGCTCTTACTCCCACAGGCAGCAAGGATGGGAAATGATTCTTAAGGACTTCTTTCTCTTACTATACGTGCCCCTTTTTCCTTACAAACACTGACTATGTGAAATGATGCAGCTGGTCTTGAAAAGTTCAGTTTTACTTAGTTTCACTTCAGTGACCCAGCTATATTACACTGCGTGACTTTTCTTGAGGCGCAAGTGCAGCAGCGATTCACATTTCAGCTTCATGCACTACCAGCCTCTCATTCTGTGCAACAGATCAAAGCAGGAAAATCTGGCTGACAGCRGTGGCTAATAATCATAATGTGTTTTACCTGCAGATAATGTGGTATTTTGAAGGCTGGGATACAGATATCCACATTCCACCTAGATTTCACTTGAACTCAATATTGAAGTCCTTGCAGCCTTACATCCCAAAATAGTGCAAAATATATGAATTTCCTTTTCCAAAAAATGATTGCAGCAATGCAAGTTTTCAACTTTTCTTCAAAAGAGGCAATTCCCTTTTCTTTCAACTATACAGAGATATTAATCAAGTAACTGCCAACATAGTATCTTATCTCTTAGGATAGACTGCCCTCAGGAGGCCACAATGAAATCACCTCATGGGATATCACCTACGCAGCAGGCATTACACTGGCTACAATAAAACAAAGTTTCTAAAAGCTGTTCCTCACTACAGCTCCTACATACAGCTGCCATCTTTAAAAACAACTGCCCACCAACAGCATAGGCTGTACATACTTATATACTTAACATAGTGGGTTCTGTGCAGTGAAAAAGCAAGGCTCCCATGAATATGTGACCTAGAAGGAGGAAAAAAAAAGAAAAAAAAAAAAAAAACAGGAGAAAGAGTAATTCATCATCTTCTCAAATACTGGAAAAAGGACTGGAAAAATGGGTAGTGATGAGAAACCTGAATGTCTGTTTCTAATCAGGAGACAGTGACATAATAGGCACAGCAGTACCATGATGGAAATAAGACAAATAAGTATACATACATACATGTGTGTATATATATACACACACACACACACGGTTATGTATATATGTGCATATATAAAAAAACACATAGAAAACCTCAAATTAGGCATCAAATATACTAAATCTCAGAATCACACACAGACTGAAATTTCAGGTCTGACACGATAAAATCTGCTGTTATACAATGTTTGTCCCCAGACARTTTGGAAGTCCCGAGAGAGGCTATGGACAACAAGGTAGACCACAGAACTGTAACGCGCCTTCAACTATCAGCAACTTGGGTAAATGTCGCCCCAAAGATGCCTAGGTTACATCTTGTAATACGTGGTTGTTTCATGCAGCCAGCCAAGGACCCAGCTCTGGCTGTGGTCTCAAGGAATGTACAAAACCTGACTGAAAATGTTGTTTTCAAAGACTGACTTTGTAATGGAGCTCCATTTCTACAAGGATACTGACCAAGCCTATCAATAAAGACAGCAGTCACCTACTGCTAACATTTCCTTTCCACAAAAGGAGCAACATAAAAATATGGGAATATGTTACAAGTCAAAAAAATAGGAGATACAACGCTTCAAAACAACATTGACATTTTACATACTGAATTTTTACTGTGCTTTTAGATATTGACTTTAAATGCATACTTACATTTTCTTACTCCCATACTATACATACATTACACTATACATATGTATGTACTTACTTAGTATGTACTTACTTACATACTCACATACTTTACTTTTGTGGGAGGAAAAGAAGGGGAAGGGCAGATTGAGAGAGCTGGCATGGATCAACGGCACCAAGAATCCAGATGTCAACCTGCAAGTCATTTCAGCAGCTGAAGGGAGTCTGTCTTTAACAGTAAAAGGCAGATCAGCACTTACAGAAATATTTTCCAAAAAGACATATAAACTGAACAGCACATTAGTACAGCTTCTTGTTCCTCAGTATATGAGCAGATGATCAAAATAAAAAGGGAACAAGGCCATGAGAGAAGAAAGCAAACTCCGAACACTGAAGTTAGCTCTTTGCATCAAAGTAAAACAGGGTACACAGCAAATACAGACAAACTGCCAAGGCCGGATGGTATCACTCCGGAATTCTGAAGGAAATCAAGTAACTGCAGTGTGAAACTGCTGAGATAAAACTGACCTCATGGTCAGAAAAGTGGAAGTTGGCTGAAGTGACATCAGATTTCGAGGGGGTTTTACAGGGGAAGGGGTACTTTTCAAAGGGGTATATTTCAAAGAGATCTAAGAAAATACAGATTAATTATCTGTTCTCTGTTCACAGCAAACTGCCAGAAATAGTTCTTAAAGGCACATAAACAATTAGATAAACATACTGAGGAGAGTCAGTGTGGATCTTATACAGARAAGTCAGGTTTTACAAACATATTAGAATTACATACTTTAAAAGGCTATGAGAGCATGAGAGTAAAGAAAGTTAACTAATATAGCATGCTTCAAAACCTAAAAGGCACGTGACATGTTCCCTTATCACAAGACACGTTAAATTATATCCTGGCTGCACGAAGGTAAGTCATCATATCAGAATAATACTAAAAGAAAAAAATATAGAAGAAAAAGAGAAGGGCTATTTTATGGTCCCTCTTTTCTAAAAACATGGATCACCAATAGAATCCCATAGACATCTTCTGGGCTAGAGCAGTACAACATACCCCTAATTGGTTTGAGACAGCAACTTCCAAAGCAACACTGTCTTCTGTAATGCTAATTTGTTAACTTACTCAAGTAACTTACTGAAATTCCTCTATTCAATAAAATGATAAAAGATTGAAACAAAAGGTGCAGAGTCATTTCACCAATTGAGAAATACGTCTTAAAACCAGCAGATTAAATTCCCTGTAGATAAATTAAAACATTTCACATCACGGGGGAGGAGAGAGAGGATCATTCCTAAATACATACATGAGGAAATTAGCTCCAAACTGACAACTATTCAGGATTGAGTTACAGTTCATATACAAATTTCTTAGACTCTAAAAATACAAGCTTAATGTTCAGCAAAAGGTAAAATAGTCCTTTTTTTGGAACACAATATAAAAGACGTTTTCTGCTKTAGAAAAATCCAAAGAATACTGTAAGTTCCCACTTGTTCTTCCCTTACTAAGAACAGAAAAGAATAGCAAAAGGACAGTAAAGATGAGCACGGGTAAAAAACAGTTTTATAACAAGGAATGACTAAAAGAAATAGGAGTCTTCTGTTTGGAAYAGAAACAATCAAGGAAGGATACATCAGTGGTCTACAAATTCAAGGATGGCATTTTTATGATGTCTCATCAAATTCAGGAACCACCAGGCCTCAATCAGAGCTATTAAACATCAATGACAAATTGTTGGAGGATTCAAGAATATTCCACAGAGACATCACCATGCTCTTGATCTGTTATCCCCCCTCTGCATACACAATTACTACCACTATCCGAGGCCTAACACCAGGCCACCAGTACCAGACACAGATACGGTATGTCCTTAGTATGTACGTCCACAGGAAGTCCTGAAATGGATTCTTATCGGTTTCAGCTCTCATCTACCAGACTGAGCAAAAGTGGAAATAATAAACTTTTCAAAATATGATGTGAAGGCTACYCACATCTCATTCAGGTCCTATGGCATACCCAACAATTACAGTAGCAAAAAACATAGTAAGTGTTGCAACATTTTGACAATGTTCAGCAGCAGCATATTGAGACTCTTATGAAGATGTTATCCCAGGAGTTAATTACAAATATAAAGTGAAATTTCCATTACTAATAACTTATGCAATGAAACAATAGATGATAATAACTATCCCCAGATCTCACTAATAAGGAATGCTTTTAATCTTTTGTTTGGCTCATGGTCAAAATGTGTCACACGATCCTTGCCTGTAAGATACTAAAGACAGGTATGAGCAGCAGCCAACTTGCTGACACATTATTGCTTGACTGGTAAAACAGTACCAGCTGTCTCCTGCCACCTTCACTGCCCTCTGAGAAAAATCTGCTATGCTTTGGCCAATTCCTCCTAACCAGGGAAAAAGAATTATCGATTGCATTTTGGCAAAGAGACACAGACGCCACACAACTTTCTGCATCAGGTAACACTACTCAACAAAAACATATCTCTAAGATATGGACAGGGCTACCTCTGGCGATATTTTAGATTCCACACTGAACAACACAATTATCTCTAAGACCCTTGAATATATAACCATTCCTTGTATCATTTCTCAATACCTATTATCAAGGAATTTGATCACACAGTTTTCTGGCACAAAGACAAAATTTCTCAGGTGCACAAATGAAGAAAACCTTAGACTTGAAAGACTCCAAGTTATCATCAGCGAGATCTCTTCTTTCTGCACTTCAGTTTATGCCAAAAGAGGAAATAATTTCAAAAGCTGAACCAGCATCTGGATCATGATGCAATGAACACTAGAGGGAAGAAGTGAAGGTCCTAAACCACATTCATAGTTTTCTTCAGAGAAAATAAATACAACAGCTATCAAAAAGTTCTTGATCTCATTGGAAAAGCCTGAGGTGAAACTTCTGGTAAACTTCAGTAAAAGAAGAACACTCAGGATTGTCTACATCTCAATAATTACTCTGCTTCAAAAGCCACTTTGAATAAGATAAATGGCTATTTTATTGACTGTATATAAATATTAAAGAGTATCAGCATAACACAGTTGAACTGAGTTTTCAAGAAAACATGCAACAATACACCATGACTTCACCCTCTGAAACATATTTAAATGGAAACAGTTCCAAGTCAGTGAAAAGGCATAGCTACTTTTACACCTTCTACCTGGAAGGCTTAAAACTGCAAAGTTCACAGTGTATCTTCCAGTTTAAACTCAGAATATTAAAAAACTAACATCTCCAGTGACCAATCAGTAGTCATTACATAATCTCAAGCACTGATGAAGTAAAAGTGCTGTATGCATATTTAAAAACAGAACAGAGAAGGTTTTGCCATTATAAAAGTGCATTACATATCACTAAATCTCCTGGAGGCAATTCAGGTATACTGGAGATCTAGAAGCTTCTAGCTTTGTAGTTTCAGTTATAAACAAACAACAAGAACAATTTTCTAGGGACTGATAAGAATAAAGAAGTAGATAGCTAAGAATCCTCTGCCTACATGACAGACTTGATCATAACTGCCAATTGGTAAACATGTCTCTGCATTTATTTCATCTCTGTGTAACACAATCATTCAAAATATAATCCCTGTGCCACCCCAAATTGGAAAACATGATATTATAAAAATATAGTGCTTTTAAGATATATCAAGATATTATTTAAAGCTATCATCGTTCCAAACCAGTTCTTTTCTACATACGCAGACTTTGTATTACCATGTGCATTTTTGCTGGTACCCAAACATAGATGCTGCACTTCATTACTTACGAATTACCACTCTGATTAGAGGGTATCAAGTCAATTACATCTGTCAATCTTCAGCGTAGTCTTTTCTCCCTTCCCTTTGATTAGTGTATGTTTTATAAGTGGCATCATGATATGTCAGTATGGTGCTTATTTGATGTAGCAATTAAGTTTGAAGCTGCAAGCCTCCATCTACAATTAGAGTACTGCCTGTAACATATGGAGACTCTAGCAGAAAGACAACAGCTTGTGCAACTTCCTGAGGCTCTCCAAATCTCCCAAGAGGAATTGCTGCCTTCAACTCATCTTCGTCCAAATGAGCAGTCATCTCTGTGTGAATAAAGCCTAAAAGAGGAGAAAATCCGAAAGAGTTACATAATTTCCAATTAAACTTCCCAAGCTCATTTTTCCTGGAATTCGTCCAAGTGAAAGCTACGAGCAAAATTCAGCAGTAACTATCATTCTTTAAGATGAAGAAGTCAGTCCACACCATTTTATAGCTAAGAACAATTTCTTTTTCCTAATAATACAATGTCTTCCAGGTTTGAAAGCACTAATGTAATAATAATTCAACTGAGGAATCTGCACAAACTTGTGGGATTAAAAAAAAAAAAAAAAAAAAACCCAACTTTATAGACTTGGGCCCCAAACCTATCACAATTTAGGATCACTTTTCTGGAAGACAAAATATAGTTATTTCACCAAAACACTTTCAATAAAAACTGCAATGAAATTATGACAAGAAACACCTACAGCTTGCAAGTATTTCCATTATATATATAACTGATTACAGAACTTGCAAAATTTCTATCATCACACTTATCTGAAGAATACTTCTTCAACATTTTAAATAAATTTTTCTTTAAAATCTTCTATTGAGATTTCATTTTTCTGGATTGTTCATTTCTATCCACAGAAGCTGCAACTTCACAAAGAGTTCATCTGACCTAATATTTCTCCTAACTAGTTCACAATCTGAAGTGGCTCATGTAGGGGCCTTACAGGCACAGAGCTTCCACAAGCGCCACAGCACACAGCCACAAGTAGTGGAATTCAGGAAAGCCAGAAGAGACTCTCTCAAGGGGTGATGATTCATTAGACTGCAAAATATTATCTTGAGAAATCATAGCGTCCTCTTTTCAGAACTTTCTTTCCAGATTCTCTCCTTTTACTAAAAGGAAAGGATGCCTTCATGTCTGCTTTTCGTGGTCTTTAATGTTGCTCTAATAACAAATATGCACTCTCTAGAAGAAAAGGAGGACAACCAGCAATCTGCACAGAATTATTCCTGCTCTTCATCTGTAGGGATAACAAGTCTTGAAGAAAGAACAAAGACAAAAAGCTGGCATGATGTAACACTGGATAGAGGAACAGGAGGACCTGCTCCCCCATATTTCCCCATGTATCCTTCAAAAGGGTAAACTTTTACTAAAAGAATGCATGGCACTTTAAAGAGAAAAAGAGAGGAAAACTACTTACTTAAAAATTAATGAAAATATCTTGTTACTTTCAGAGCACAGAAAACATCCAGCAGTCAGACAAATGATCAGTTACTGCAACAGTCAAAGGCTGAGTAACTTTATATCTACTAACCTGGAGCAACCACATTGACTCGAATTTTCTTTCTTGCTACTTCTTTAGCAAGAGAACGCGAAAACCCAACTAAGCCTGCTTTGCTAGCGCTGTACACACTTTGACCAGAGTTGCCTTTAATTCCTACAATACTTCCTAAAACAAAGAAACATCAAARAGAAGAAAAAATCAAGCTACTAATTTGGATGTCCATACCAATTTTTTCATTTTGATTTTAAAATTACAGTGAAAACAAAACTACAGAAAAGAAATAAAAAGTTAGTAAAAAGTATGCAGTGATTTTATGGCCTATTGCTGGGATAAGAAAAACAATTATGTGTGATTTTTGTGGAATGTAATATGGAATATTTTGACTAGCATGTGCCAAGAAATTTAAACAAAATTTTGCTAGAACTATCCTTGCACAGATCTCTCCCCCCCCAAATAATTGTACCTATTTGATTCTAATTAATAGCTCATAGCTGATAAATTTAGTTACTGAAGGAGCTGAAAAAGCACTCTAAAATTCTGAAAAAATATAAAATGYGGCATTTATTACTGACACAAGATGTTTTTATAAGTTGCCAATCACATAAAAGATAATCATTCACAAAGAAATGCTAAAAATACAGTGACTAATCAAAAAGAAAATAGTCAATTACAAAAAAAAAAGCCATCACATTTCAGTATGTAACACCTTAGCACCTGTTAAAATTTTCTATAAAACTAATTCACATATAAACTATTGAATTAGAATAGCAACTTACCTATATTAACAATAGCACCTCCCTGGTGTTGAATCATGCTTTTTACAGCAGCTTTGCATGTCAGCATTGTTCCAAGGAGGTTTGTGTGAATCTGGGATATCATATCTTCAGTCTTGGTTCTCAGTAACAAGCCATCCCTACAAATGGACCCGAAAAAAACAAACGAGAAAGAAAAACAAAACAAAGAAAGAAAGAAGAACTCATGAGACTACCCAAAGTCAGATTTCCACATGATAAAACCTGACAGATGAATAGTATTGTAATAGAGCTGGATGTGGGTCTATATGGTCTGATGCTCAAAGTTATGAAACTGATGGGATTACATGCAGCAAGAAAAAAAAAAAAGAAAGAAAAGCTGTGCTTCTGATAACAAAAACCATTACTGCAAAGAAGTTGCACACATTGTTGTGGACCATTTTAGAGAGTAACAGGGCAGAAAGAAGAATAGTGAGGGAACAAATTCAGACACTGCAGTGAAAACTGCTATCACCTAATCTACTAGTTTAACTTCCATTATAAGTAAATTACTGGTGAATGCCTAATTCTGTTTTCAGATGCACCCATTAACAATACTGTTATTAAGGCCACTTCCGTATTTAGCACTCTCCAAAAGATGGTGTGATCTAAAATTACATATAGCCTTGTAACTAATAACTAACCTGTTGATCCCAGCTGCATTAACCAAGTAATTAATAGGACCTAAATTCTTCTGTATCTCTTCAAAAGTATTTTGGACATCTTCTTCTCTGGATACATCACAGCTAAGTGCCAGGTGTCCTTCTGTATTGAAATAAAGCCACATCATAGCAATGGTAAAAGATTTTGCACCATTCATAAATCTTCTTAAGAATCTATAACTCAATTTTAAGAGCAGAGGTAAGACAATTTGCAAATACTATACTGAGAAGTTTTGTGACAATTTCTTGTTTTGTATTTCTGGACTTCTAAAATTTGAAGTTCAGCAAAGGCACACTGCCAGGAATGGATCAATTCATACTAACTCACTTGTGTGACCCTGAACAACTCCCTTAATATCACACACTCTCTGTGTAAGGCAAGACCCACAACACACATAACTTTCCCGAAGTATATTGTGAAAAACAAATTTTAATCTACATCTAGCTAACAATCCGGTTTATTTGWCTTGTTCTGATTTACTAAGGTTGCCTAAGCACTGGACAGCAAAGGCGGCATTGCAAAGCTGCATACMTACCACCAAGATGATGGGCAGTAGCTTGAGCTACCTCCAGATTTCTAGCAACAATTGCCAGGCGGCATCCTTTCTGTGCCAGCAATCCCGCAACAGCTTTTCCTATCCCTCGTGATCCTCCAAAAATTGCACAAATCTTGCTCATCTTAAAAAAAAAAAAAAATCAAAAATTGCAAATAAATCAACAAAGAGTAACTCACATGAATTCCAGGTCCAACATAGCAGAGTAGACACTGTTCTTGCTAACATCACATCTTTTATTGATTTGTAGCAATTTTAAAATATGGATTATAAAATTATTTCACCCAAAATGAGCTAAGTCAAATATGACACCACTACCACTAATAAATGCAAGTTAATGCTTAAAAACTTCAGCAGTACCATTCTATTGGCATTTTTGAACTGTCATAAAAATATGTATGTTATCTAACATTTCAATATCTGTATTTTGGTAACTCCAACTTGACTGCTGAAAAATGATTTCTGTCTCAAAAGGTTCAAACATACTGTTCAGCTGTTATTTACTACCAGTGCAGTATGGTGACTATGCAAAGCCAAGACAACAACGCTACTGTTCTTGCACTGTTTGGTCGCAAGGTCTCACTCTGCTCTAAGCATCTACCTAAGACATCCAAAAAGCCCACATCACTTGAGCGTAAGTCAGTAACATTAGGTTTACATTACTAGTCTTAGCTTTCTATCTCTGCTTTTAAAGAAATAAAGTTTTTGAAAACAAAATCCAAAACGATTCTGAACTAGCAAGCTTCAGTAAAACTTGACTGTTGCTTGGATATGTGAAAATGTTTGTAGAGAACCATGTTTTGTTCTACAACCTTTAAAAATGAACCAGTTGAGTGATTTTCTGAGCCAGAGGCATAGTCCAAACAATAACATTTAATTGAATTAACTGCTTTTCCATAAATTTGAATAAATCCCTTTTGAACTCAATTACACTTTCAGTCACCAAAACATCCTGGGGCAACAAGTTTCATCATTTCTGGGTAGTACTTCCTTTTGTTCTTAATCGGCTTTCTGATTAGAGAAGGCTACACATTTTTCCTATTTTCTTAGGAGTTATATTTCAGAATTTCAGAGACCACACTGCTCTGTTTTACCTCCCCCACTATATCCTCATTCAGGCCTGTTTAGCAGCTTGTGAACGTATGGAAGCCATTCCGCATTACTGAAAAGCTGTCCAAGCTCCCTTATCCCATCACACCATCCCTATGTGYCTTATGTAGTTCTATATATCCTTTTTTATTTGTGACAACTAAAACTGCATATATTTAGAACTKCACTGTATTTACTATAGTGGCACAGCATGAATTTTCATAACTGCATTTTGATCTTGGTCTTGCGTGATAAGGCCTGAAAGAGCAGCTGACCTGCCTGTGTAGCAACAGGGAAGCACAGGTGCTTCAGATCAACCCACACATCTGCTCCTCGACCAGCAAGAGGGAACTGGCTTTTCGCCTAAGACTGACAACTCCGTATTTGCACCTCAGGTGGGGACCCTTCYGAAAGGGCAGCTACAGGTGCAGAAAACACTCGTTACTCACGAGCAAGGCAGGCACATTCTTCCCCTGCTCTTTCGGGCAGCCTTTGCTAGGGAGGTGAGCGCCATGGCCGGTCCGTGAGGCTGGTGTGTGGCCACGCCAGTCCCGGCTGCAGGCACAGCCGTGCCCTGCTGCGTTGCCAGCTTTTACTAGGAACACGTGGCACTGCCTGCTTTCTGCAGCGGGACCCATGCGCTCTTTTACGGAATTATCCAGAAAGGTTCTTGACAGGCCTTGCCTGACTAGCTCCTAACATGACACTGCGTTTCGGTTTTGCCTTTTTCCCCCCGTTCCTCCAGACAAGCCCCCAACCTGCAGGGGCACCGCCACGCGGCGGCCGTTTCGGGCACTAAAGGCCCCCGTCCCCCGCAACGTGTGTTACCGGCCCCCGTCCATGACGAGGCACAACCTGCACCCGCCCCGCTCCTCCGTCCCGCGGCAGCCGCAGCGCGGCCATCGCCCCCGCCCCCTTCTCCACATGGAGGGCGCGGACCAACGGTCGCGGCGCGCGGACT